ATCAGTAGGAATGATGAATTTCTCAGCATCTGCCTTATCTTAAGTCCTAAATTACAGCTTTTACAGCCCTCAGGTATCTGTTGGTTCTTCTTCTCTTTAAAGACAAAGCAATACCAAGCACTGTAGCAATCCTTCAAATACTCCTTCAAAGCATATCATGGCATGCAGAAAATGCACCTATAAAAGACACCTGGAAAAAGGCCATCAAAACAGGTATTGCCACCTACAGCTGGTTCACAGACATATAAGGTACGGACTCCAAACTCCTCATAGTTCTTTACTGAGAGAAGAGAGCTAACGAAGTCAACTCCAACAACAACAGGTATTTTATTTCATCAGATGAAATGAGAAACTGACTTGTCAGCCTGATACCACAGCAAGCACATTTTCTTCACCAAAATGCTCTCTGTTTACTTATCTGACTTGCCATTACTCAGGTTAACGACATTTTTCAAGTTCCACAGAAAGCTAAATGGAAGATATGAACAGTTTTTTTAACAGTCAATCTCTTAGAACTCAAATGCTGAAGTTTTCAAAATGGTGGCATGACCATGAATCTGCAAAACAGAAAATAACAACAGTACCCCTAGGACACAACGAAAAAAATCCACCATGAATCTATGCTAAGCCACCATAAATCCTTTGTTATGAAGTATCTTTTCCCTTTTTCATCAAATACACAGCAGCAAAACTGAGCACAAATAAAATAGCCCATATAAACTCTCAAATGGCTTACAAAATCAAAATTGATATGAAAAATAGCTACCACATCAAAAATGTAATTGAAATTTCCAGTTCTACTTTAATATGTTCACTCACTACTGCTTACTGAAATCTTCAAAAAGTATTCATTATGTCTGTAAAAACCTCATTCGCACCTGATCAACCCTCACACTACACCCTTGCATACTATGATGAAAATTCAGCCAGTTTCCTGACTGTACTCTTGCTTTACAATCGAGTCCTAGTTCTCAAAGGCTGCTCACCAAACCTTCAATTCTCACATTCAGCTTTAAACTTCCACCCTTTCCACAGACTTAGTAACAAGTCAAACATGCGTCCTGTACAGAAAACATTTCTAAAGGGATCTTTCAACAAAAATCTCCCTTAAAAATTATGAGATTGTAGACAATAAAGAATACTTCAAATCGCTATGTGAGTTTCAAG